CGGCCACCTCGCCGATCATACATTCCGAGTCCCAAGACTCAGCACACATGGGCGCACCAGAGGACTGACGAGGTCGACTGAGGGTTAAGGGAAGGCGAGGGTCTGCAAGATGATAAGGAAACTCGACGATAAGAATATGAATCAGAAAAAGGGGAAAACAGAAACAAAGAAACATAACGAGTATTCACTCACTCAGCTATCTTCTTCTTCATAAAACCAACAGAAGAGCTTAGAGGGGGAACTATAGCAGCAAAAATATCACCACCACCCTACGACAGGAGTGGCGTGGTCGGTACCGGAGCCCCAGAAGAACTCAAGCTCGACGACCGCTTACTACAAGAGAATAAGTCCAAAGTTAGAACAAAAAGAGGTGTTCAACAACAGAAAAACAAGAAAACAACTCACCGACGCATGTCAAGGGCCGCATCATCATCTACCTCACTCTCAAACAAGGCAACCACATCGCCATCTGAAAAAGGAGAAAAGTACTCGGTTAAAGGCACAAACAAACAACAAAAAGACAAAACATATTAATATGCTCACCTAGGAGCACGCTACCTACAACTTGAGTACACAGGCGAGTACTCATTGGTGAGACTTCTTGGTAGCGCACAAACCAGAAGAAGAACAATCCGCTCACCCCTTTTTTTCCGACACTCACGAGGAGCTCGAGGAACTGGACAAGGAACATACTCTACACATGCGTCCAAGAACTACGGAAGAAACACCAGAAACATCGTGGTGGTTTAAAACTTCTTCGGTTAAAGATGCCCCACAAAGACTATCCCCGATCTCCACAATGGCGAAAGGCGCCATCAAGGGGATCGGATCAATAAAGTTACGCCCAAATTTCTATAAAAGTAAAACAACCAAACAAGAAAGATTAAGCAAAAGTGGAGACAAAGAAAAGGAAATACAAAAAGTACCCGCATAAGAAAAAACAACTCACAGCAGGAGGCGGGTTGTTAGCACAATACTCAAGGACAGCATGCGGAACGACGCTTACTCCTTTCAACATCTTCTGAAGGCGCTCGAGCACCTCCTCATCAGTCAACTCAAGGGCAAGGACCATACGAGAAGGATCCTCCGCCCCAGAGTACTCAAAACCATAATTCTCTCGCTCCTTCAGAGGCTAAACATGGTGGCGAAGAAAACTAGAAATAATACCGAAGCCGGTCAAGCCCTGCTATTTCAGAGTACATATCCTCTCAAGAAATGGCTTGATCGCCTGGAGCTCATCCATCGTCAGGGGATTCTTTTCCCATCGATCATTAACCACGGGACCAGAACCAGAATGAACAGCAAGAGGAGGAATCATATTGGCAGCATAAAACCAGTCGACACGCCAATCCCTCACAGAATCAACCAAATCATAATAAAAGAATTTACTCTTAAGACCCTGACGAAACTAAATTCCGCAGCCACCAAGAACATGGGTGTCATCGCCGCGGGGTTGTGGCTTCAGACGGAAGAAGTAACGAAAGAGAGAAAGAGAAGGAGGAATTCTAAGAAAAGTTTCATAAAGATGAACAAAAACAGAAAGATGAATGACAACATTGGGAGCAAGATGGTTCAAGCTAATCCCAAAATAACTGAGAAATCGATGAACAAAAGCAGAAGCAGAAAGACAGAGTCCAGCATGGATAAAGGAGACAAAAAGAACAATCTCACGGGACACGGAGTTGGGACCCGATCTTTGATGCAGAGCTTTCCAATCATCAAACTCCTTGCCTCGGATCGGACCATCACCGATAAGCTCGCATGAATCGATCCTCGATCATAGTCGAGTCGGCCAGATCTTCTGAGCAGCCCTCATGGCCATAAATTCTTGATTTTCAATCACAGAAAGCGATGCCTCCTCGTCTACAAAGGTTGCCTGGGAATTGCTCGCTGATTTCTTCCTACCCATATACTAGCGAAAGCAATAAAGCACTAAGAAACGATGATGATCAGACGGCGGCGCTCAGATGACGGCAACAATGGCGACGGCAGAGTTTTGAAGACTAGGGTTTTAAGGCAAAAGCAGGGCAGCAAAGGAAAAGAAGAAGAAAGGCCTTTAAATAGATTTTACAGCAATAGAAACGTGGCCCACCAGGCCTGTTTAAACACGGCATGAGAACGCAACGATCCATTTCTCACCACAACTGACACAGCTGAAACGATGGACGACACACTTCTACACAAAGGTAGAGTTCAACGGGCAGATTTTAGACTTATCCATCCAGCACCACGGCAGAGTTATCATATTGCTACAAAAAGAACTCATCAACTATGAAACAACGAAGGGTTACCTCACAAGGAACATAAGAACCCGGTTCTTATAGAAAGAACTCGGGAATCTCATAAACAACCAGGACATCAGCAGAAAAAAGAATAACAACTCAGAAGACAATATTCTTTCCATCATAAATGGCTTCAAAAAATACAATATTACACATCTTACAAGACCCAATGAACTCGGTAATATGACAAGCAAGGTAGCAAAAAGAAACCCGGACACAACTAGGCTCTGGAACGACTACGTGTTCCAAATTGCTACTCGGTAGAACAAACCGCACTCGGCTACACTGTTTTCTTCAAAGGACAAACGCAGTACATCCAATGCGGAAATCAAGCAGACGACAGGGGCAACATGGACCGGGGGAGGCCTGCAGGCATCTGTCTACCCAAGCCCGACGTGATGCAGGATCAGGTGTTGATCTGTACCGGACAGTCGCAAGGCAGACGAGGAGGATCAACCTAGAACTGCCGGATGAAGGAACGTATCCCACATCACAAGACTTCCTCCAACTGCCGCCACGTACTTCCTGGTACAATGCCGCTGCGAGATTAGTCTACCTCTAATCCCTATCACAAGACTCCCTCCAACTATGACAAGATATACAAGAACTACAAAATACGCCCGGGGGCTGCTCTACTCCACAAACTATCATATTTATAACTACAGAGATTTCGGACCACGCAATAAAATGCTCGATGAATCAAAACAGCACACCAGAAAGGTATTTATAGACCAAAGACGCGGTGCACATGGATCGGGAGCACCAACAGAACAAACCTAACAAAGGACACAGTGAAAAGACAGAATTCAATGAAAGAGGACTCGGGCGTGAAGGAACAGTACTCAAGAACGAGCATATTCGAAAGAATATATCAACACTGTATAACTCGTGAACAAACAGCATTTACACTCAACCACCACCATACAACTATATCTGACAACAGTAGATTACCAGAGAATATGCCAAGATCCTGTATCCGAGTTTCTTTTTGAATAAAAGAACCCAAATATATGCTCGGGGGCTGCAACAGGAGAGGTTTTCAGTTCTTTAAACAACTCAGATTCAAAACCCTCCAACTCTTTATTCTAAATAACAAGAGATTCGGGGGCTACACTCAGTGAGTGCACTTTTTCTTCAAAAAAGCGCACATCACTCAGAAAACTTCTTCAAGATAGGATTTTTCAAACAACATAAGATTCAAGACCCTCCAGCTCCTTGTTCCAAATAGCAAAAGGTTCGGGGGCTACACTCAGTGAGTGCACTTTTTTCTTCGAAAAAACGCACGTCACCAAGAAGACTTCTTCAAGACAGGCCTCATGATAAAAAGAACCTGGACCGAGCTATATCCGAGTTCTTTTTGATAAAGAACTCGGGTATATGCTCGGGAGCCTTTCGACGAAGAATCAGAGCAATTTCAAGACAAGACCCTCCAGCTCCTTGTTCCAAATAGTAAGAGGCTCGGGGGCTACACCCAGATGGGAGTACTTTTTCTTTTAAAAAAAGTACACACCACTCGAAGATCTCACGAAGCGCTACACGGTTTCGCTCAAGAAAGCACTCGGACGACGTTTGATCCTACTCGGCAAGACCTGAAGGGACAAGACGAGGCTTCCAGAACTCAACCATGAAGTGCTCGGGGGCTTGTCGGTGCGGAACCCACGAGATACCCCGCAAGGAAGGGAGAAGATCTAGTCTAACTAGAATTTTTCCCGTATATTCTTAGTAGTAGTATTATTCTGTAATCCTACGAGGAACTCTCATTATAAATCGACTAGGACTCTGGCCTCCTGACTATATAAAGGAGGACAGGGTTCCTAGAGACAACACTGACAATCAATCCAACACAAAGGCTAACGCCAACTGGACGTAGGGCTATTACTCGATCACGGTCGAGGGCTCGAACCAGGATAAATCGACTGTCTCTTGCGTTAACCGTCGAGTTATGCATACGCTGAATCCCGAACAAACTGCCCCAGGTACCCCCGTGACAGGCTATCGGTGGTAAAACATCGGCAGGTATTAACTGAAATTTTATCAACAGGACGGCTACAACCGCATAAGGAGCAGGCCACCATGGCCCAACGCGACAATGCCCAACCCAACCCAGCCTCGACTAGGCCTCTCGCCCTCTATCCCTCTCCAATCCCACTCGCACCTAACCGGTTAACCTTAACCAGCATCTCTTCTTCGCAAGGCGCAGGTGGCGGCGGCGTGCGCAACGTGGGCACATGGCTGGCGAGCGCCCTGGTGCGGCAGTGCAAGCAAGAGCACTGCTACGCAGGGAGGCAGCGAGCGGCCCACGCGGCGTGTGAGCAAGGAGCGGTTTGGCGCGGCGGCGTGCCGGTGGTCACAAGGAGGGAGCGGTCTGGCGCGGCCGCGTTCGCGAGCAGGGAGGCGGCCGGGCGGGGACGACAAGTGCTGCTAACAGGAATTGTTGGTTCGGTTCTATTTAAACCGAGAAACCGAAGTAAAAAGCCGAAGCCGGTCCATTTTCTACTTTCAAACGAACGGATCGGTTCCGGTTTGTTGAAAACTGAAGTTTTACTAAAACGAACCGAATTTGCGGTTCGAACCGAATGGCCAGTCTGACGCGACAGCTTCCGTTCCTCAGAACCTTCTAGACGCGGACCGAGGAGAACCCGGCCGCCAGCCGCAGCATCTGTGCGCGAAGGCTAAGTAGGCAGGCTCGGGTTCTAGGGGCGGCCTTGCTCGCCCAGTATGGACCAGAGGAAGGCCATCTTCCGCGCGAAGCTCCGCGAGACCAAGGAGAAGCAGCAGCGGCGCATCGACCCCGCGCTCGTCAGGTCCTCCTTCGACTCTCTGTCTCGATCGGTGCCTTCGATTTGGCTCTCATCTGTCGGAATCCTGCCGCTAAGTTCGTTCAGTGGTTGGGATGCCTGCCTCACCTGTACAAGGTGTAACCCTAGGGCATTTGGATGAACAGCCGTCGCGAATTCTGGCTAGCCGTGTGCAAAAAAACTAGGATTTCAACAATTATAAACTACTTCCGAATTACATCTTGGCATCATCATGGTTTGGACTCTTACACATTGCGAAATTTTAGTTCGACTGGATTCCAGTATCCTGCATCTGTGCATCGAAGTTTTAGGTCGAGTGGATTCTGGTATCCTGCATCTGTTCATCGAAGTTTTAGTTCGAGTGGATTCTGGTATCCTGCATCTGGCCATCATTTAGTTATTCTGCAAAGGCTGTCATAGATTTTGAGAGCATAGATGTAAAAAGCCCTGAGTTTTAACTACGAACTGTAAATGCGTTTCAATTTGCACTGTGGAGTGGAGTGCTGAGAGAATCAGGATCTTAGTTAAGAAATACTACTATAACTATGAACTATGAGACATCAAATTGACATCTTAAATTTTCATAATCTTGTGCAGGTATAACGAATTTGATCAGCCCATATGCAGAGTATGCAATATTACACTAAAGTCTGAAGCACTTTGGCCTGCACACCAAGTGTCACGGAAGCATCATGAAGTAAGAAAGCTTCGCCTGTGTTAATTGATTTACACTTTTGAGTTGGTGTTTATGGCTGCTTGTTAAAAAAAAACACCTGACTGAATGTTTTGCTGCAGCGACACACAATACATTGCCGTGCAATCTTATCCTATATAAAACTAAGTCCTGTCCATTACTTCATTAAAAAAAAAAGATTAGACAAAGCACTATGTAACAAAAACCAGACATGGTGGTTTCCGCTGCTTGTTTTGCTAGTTCCTTATGAAAACTGAACAGTGTTAGTACAAATACATATTTGATGCTTTTGTTGTTATGATTATTTTGGTCTGTTCAATCTGAAACCCGGCTAGCATTTTTGAAACCATCCCCTTTTCAGATTTAGTTTCTGCTTACTATCAGATCAGATAGTGTACATTTGATTCCATGGGAGCTGCATGCACTTGATTTCTATGTTGACTTAATTAATTATGTACATTTTAATTGCTCTAAGAATAAGATTATGGTTTATGAAATCACATTGATATACTGCATTCAAAGTGTATTTGCTCTTGTATTTATTACTTCTGAACTGAGGTTGTATTTTGATTACAGGCAAAAGCACCGCTGCTGCTAAGGCTGCAACAGGTGCAGGATCTAGAGGCAACAGTGCCAAGCAAGAGCAACCATTGGAGTCTCAGAAACAAAAATCTTCCACACTACCTACCAATTTTTTGATAACCAGGGAACTAAAAGGCAAAGTGATGGTGAGAATACCTAATGACCTCCCTTGCTCCAAATAGTGTAAAATCAATTGGGTCTGTAGTATTGCTCTAGAGGCATTTGCGTATATTATCATTATCATGGAAATAAACATTTCTTATTTTGCTTTTGAGCTTACATTTGATTCCTCCTTTTGTTCTGCCACTTGTCCAGCGTTTGCCTTCCATTATTTTTTTTGGTCACCTCTATGTACACTTGCTCAGACACCATGTTAAAATAAAAACTCGACTTGCGGGGGGAAGGATTGTCCCCATGACATTGCTCTCAGATACCATGTTTCTGTAGAGTTGTGCATTATAACCTATTCAATTTTATTTTCAAATGAACCATCTGTATAAAATTCTCATTTTCTTCTTCTCTTAATCTACCAATAAACTGTAATGTCCTTCCTAGCTGTACATGCTAAATCATTAAACCTATCAGTCTGCCACTGTGTTAACTGTTAAATGAAACATGGTGTGGGATTTTAAAACACCGTGAAGTTATTTTAGAATGTTTTACCTACAATGTCTAAGTATAATGTTTTAATTATTCTGTTTTCTGTACATTTTGCCATATCAATGTCTAATTTAATGCAGATGTGTTTTCTGTATAGCTTTCTACCTGTAGTAATATGGTACAGTAAAATGTAAAATGGCTATTTGTTAGCGCCCCTAGTAAACTCAACAGTTTTTGTGAACATCAATGCCCTGATATAACAACTTTGATTTCTAGATACTGGTTCTGAGGGAAGGTCTGTGCGCCGTGAAGTTGCTGTTATTCAACCGAAGACCATAGAAGCAAGTACCGGTAAATCATCTGTTAGGATGGATCAAATGTCAAAGAAAGGGAGTCAAAACAATACCAGTGTCAAAGGAACCCTTCCAGGGAATTTTTTTGACTATGGAGAAGAAGATGAAGCTCCAGCTCCAGTTCCAAAAGAGCTTAGTACATCTCAAAATGTTGCCACGTCCATTCACACGAAGGTGAAAGGCGTCCCTGATGGCTTCTTTGATCACAAGGAAACTGGCAGTGGCATGCAACCCAATGAACCAAGTTCAGAAACTGCTCAAGCAAAAGGATCGTTGCCTGAAGGTTTCTTTGATAACAAAGATGCAGATCTCCGTGCACGCGGTATCCAACCTCAAAAAGTTGACATGAAGTAAGTTTTAGTGGCCATGCCTTGCCGGGATTCAGCATTCATGCATAACAATTTTTACCAGATCTACCCGTTTGTCATGTATTGTCCTGTTTATTTGGCAATTTTACATTTTGTTGTCATGACACATGTATAGTCACTGGTCAGGATTGATAGATTATACGCTGGAGTTTAGATAGTGTTTTATGATCATGGCTCTTAGCAGCAGCTGGTCAGCATAGTTTAACAGCATAAATGAGTTTGATTTCTAAACTGGTCGTTTTATTGTCATTTCCACGCCCATTTTGTGTTTGTGCATCTGTCAAGTTCAAAATCTGCAGTAATCTACAGTTAGTAAAATGTTATTTGCTGTCTGTACACTGACATTATCATGTCAATTCATTAAAATCTTTGTGCAGTGATGCATACAAAGAATTCGAGAAGGAAATTCAGGAGGATTTGCAGGAAGTTGATGACCGCCTTGAAGAAGAGGAGGTTAGGCTAATTTATATTCTATACATTTTATGTTAACAGTGAAAAAGATATTTACCTACCCATTGCCAATGTTAGTTCCAGACTGCTGATACTAGCAAACTTTCCTTTTTGTTGTAGATTGATGCTGCTGCTGAGAGGGAGGAGTACTTGACTCTCGAGCAACAGTAAGATACTTCTCCATATCCTGTTAGATTTTGAAAACATGTGTACCATAGTGAAGATTTTTACCGTGGCCATCCTCATATTTTCTATACAGGGAGTACAGGCAGCAAGTTGATATGTTGAAGAAACAGCTAGTTGAGTCGAGAGCCGCCCGTACTGCTAAATTAAATAGCAAACCTATCGGTATGGATGCTGAGTCCAGCAGCAGCGACTCATCGAGCGATGAAGAGGATGACAACACAGATTTTGCTGTTGATTGGAGAGCACAGCATTTGAAATGATGGAAACATTTTGCAACTGGTATGAACTACCGTGGAAAGTCAGAACCTTTAGCATCTTGCCATTATCGAGAATTCTAACCCTGTTCTTCAGTTTTTTTTACATGAAGAAAACACTGTAGTTTTACATCTTTCGTCTCCCACAGCAGTAACCAGTTCCCGTCATTCTTTGTAGCGTCATTGGCAACTTTGTATACACCGCAGTTCTGAGTGTTCTGACTACCTGAACCCACTGCGAATCCCTTGACTGATTGAACCTCTTTGGTTGTACGTATCACATTCTGACCAACGGTTTAACTTGTTCCAAGAAATTTTACACGTTGCTTCCGATTTTGTACAATAGGAGTACATGTTAAGCAAGTTATCTGCCTCTAGATCACGATTCCATCAAAGATTCTCGTGCATTTCAACCTTTTTCTGTCGTCACGAGGATATCTGACATTGTTGGACGGTTGAAGGGACGCCTCCGCCGCCTGTGCAGACCGCCTCGTGCATGCTTCAACGCTTTGTGCTACACCTACAGGGCTTGTGTCTATCTAATGTTTCTTTCTCTAGCGATTACTGACCATGTTTCTTTCTCTGAGCGATGAAGAGGATATATTTTAATGTCTATCTAATGTTAGCTTTGTTTCGAAAGAAAAACGCTAATGCTCAGACTCGGGCGTCCGTCTGTCCGGATCTGAAAAAAAATCAATTATCCCCACTCCGTGCTCGTCTCCCCGCTCCGTGCTCGTCCATCGTGTGGCCGTCCGCCCGCCCCTCTATGTTTTGCCGCTGCCGCCATCCCCCGTGGCGCCTCAATCCCACGCCGCGGCCTACTCCGGTAAGCTGCCGCCGCCATCCCCCACGGCGCCCTTGTCCCCCGCTGTGCCATGCCGTGCTCTGTCCTCCGCTGCGCCCAGGCCAGGTGGCCAGGAGAGGGAGCCGTAGCTGGTCGGAACCGGCTGTCCCCTCGCTCTGCGCTGCGTCATACGGAAGAAGGGTGAAAAAGCATGTGCAAGCCTTATGTTTTAAGTGTTTCAGATATTTTATATGTATGTTGGAAGTGTTTCATATGATGTTGTAAAAGTAGATCGGAATGTTACATATGTTGCAATGTTTGTACACGTATGTTGTAAGATTTTGTTCCCAATGTTTCAGCTGTTTTTTCAGACGTACGTTGCAGGTGTGTTTATTTGGATGTTGCATATATGTTTCACACATATGTTGCAAGTATTTTATCTGAATGTTGCGTATGTTTTACAATAGTTTCAAGTGTTTTTGAAAGTGTTTTAGATGCATGTTTCAAATGTTTCATCTGTCTTCAAACATATGTTGTAAGTGTTGCATCAGGATGTTTTAAAAGTAGATTGGGTTATGCATCTCCCTCCTCGCCTCGGTGTCTCCTCCCAGCGTCGGCTAGGCATCCGCCGCCCCCTCCCCCTCTTCTTGATGCCAGTGACGTTCGGGACGCACAGGCCCCGCGTGGGCACACAAAACGGCGAGGGAAATGGACCGCAAGCGCGGGAATCCGAACGCCCCGTCCATCTGTCCGGGCGCTAGCAAGTCTGGAAGAAAAATCATACTTTGGCTGGTAAGGATGTAAGCAGGGACGGAGCGAGAAAATACATATGATGTTGATAGCTAAGTACTTATAGATGAGTTGTTAAAGGAAGTAAAATCAAATATTTTCATTAAATTACACCTTTCGGCACTTGGGAAAATCGATCGCGCGTATCTATGTTCCAATCTAGAGGTGGAAGGATATGGGAAGAATAAAGAGTAAGACATAGTTCCTAAGGTAAATATATAAAAGAGAAAGAAAGTCTAAAAGTAGCTGAGGTGATTTAGAAATAGTTTGGAATTCCTGAAGCAAAATTGTCATCTATATTTTAGAAGCGAGGTTTTAGAAATTGTTGGAGGAAGACTATTTTTTTAGAACTATTAGAGATGCTCTGAGAGAGTGGTGTTACCCCTCTGTCCGCCCCCCTATGCCTATAAGAAAACCATGTTAATTTTTTTCGTTTGGTCGTTATGTTGATTCAATATATAGGAATAACATAGTCTGAGTTTCAAATCAAAACAAAAAATAAGGGAAAATAAATGAATTAACGCATTGATTTAGGAACTATTGATTGGGTACTAGCTTGCGTCATGTTGGAAGGCGTCCACGCGGATCAGGTTCGGTTTTCGGTTGTGATTATCAACTTCACTTCTCTTTCCTCCATCTCAGCATTCAGCCCATTATAACATGCTATTATACTTATTCTTGCTCCAAGGTATCTGTGCCTTCTACAACTATATTTTATTTTAGAAAAAGAAGTATGAAGTTAATTTAGTGGCAGATTGTGGATTGGCCGTTGACTGCTCATACACACATACAACAGAGTAACAGAGATCAACAGCTGTTGAGCCAAACGGGACTTTGGTTTGTCAATCGGGAACATGCCGTTTGACGTCTCATGCTCACCGCTAGGCATTTGAGAAATGGCAAATGATAGAGGATAAGCTGCCAAGGCCATTATACAAAATGATAATCGTTAGAACTTTCCACTCAGATAACGTAGGAAAACTAGGTCGAGACTGGTCGTCTTTCTTGTCAGGTTTGTCATCTGCTTATTGTATTTGGACCGCCGTTGGTTACATGATTTTTTATGCGATGTTTGACAGACACACGTACACGTCCCTTTCACCAACCGATAACTAGCTGCAACATATGAAATATGGAGTAAAGAAACACCTTAATTCGGCCAATTCATTAGGTGCGTGCGCTCCTGAAAAATTACGTCAGCAGACGCCACCTGCCTAAACAATCCATAGAACTCTTCTAGAAAGCAAAGTAAATAATCCCCGGATGGTGCTGGAAACAGTATGATCTTATTTTAATCATGCAATCGCAAATGAAAATGAAGGTCTCAATTAGTACAGTATTCGATCGCAACATGTTTGGTGTTTTGTAGGATTTTGCAATCATAGAGGAATGCTTATAGCCATTTTTTAAAAAACTCTTATAGCCAATTATAATCAGATTAAATTCTCTGAAACTCACAGCGATGAAGATGTCAATACCTAATATTTGTGGCTCACACAAATCCAAGACACACCAAACTAAGAAAACAACATTTGGTCCAGCCTTTTTTTTGTTTCAAGAACACGGTTCTTCATTGAACTAGCTTGCATCTAGCGAGTCACGCAGCTAGGTGCTACAGTTTAGTGAGGAAAAGGGTCATCAACCGCTAAGTTTAGAGGTTTTCCCTAACCTGTTTTACAGTTTAGTGAGAGAAAGAGGATGTTTCTGTGAGCCAATGTACTGAGCTCAACTCCGCTGAATATTTCTTTTAGGCTCAGTAGCGATTGTGGGTATTTAAAGAAAACCTCTGAAAATTAAAAATTTCTTTGGTTTTAACAAGGGATAATTTATTAAAGAGAAGGTGGAAGGGTGATTCTAAGTGTAATTTTTGTGGGTTAAGACGAAACCATTCAGCACCTTTTTTCAATTGCGGGTGGCCCGATTTGTTTGGAATTTGTTGTTCATCACTTCTAACATTCAACCACCAAGAAGCACGACTCACATGTTTGGATCTTGGATAAGGAGCTTTGCTCCAGGGCTAAAAAATCAATTAATGGTGGGGATAAGCAATGTGTTTGGGTATTATGGTTGAATAGAAATGATCACGGTGTTCCAAAAATCAATTGCTAACTCTTACTTGCATGTAATTTTCAGGGGGGGCATATTGGATCAGGCAATGGTCCATATTGTCTAAAGAGGAAGAGAGAGGGGCTTTGAATGAAGGATGCAGGCGTCTTGAAGGAGTGGTGTTACATTTTTTTGGTGGCCATGTTTGGAAGAACCAGAGAAGGATAGAAGCGTAGTCCTTTGATGATGTTTTGTCACTCGTTATGTATAGGGGTTTTGAGCAGTGGGCTCTCTGTAATGCTGTAGTCAGCAGTGTGGTGTCTGGTTTGGGGATTATCTAATGTCCGTGTAGCGAAACCTTTGTCTAAGTATCTCTCTTGTATCGTTTGGCCATAAGCATTCACTTGTGAATGTGAAGGCCAGAATGCTTTTATTCAATAATCTAAAAAAAAGGTGCCACAGTACCAGAATTCTTTTTCGCACAGATATAATCAGGTCTCATATAAAGCAAATAAACATCCTGAATTCTATTTTCAATTTTCTAGCGTTTAAGGAGATAACTTGTACTTGTAGCCCTATATAATAGACATATACCATTGAAAGAAAGCCGATTGCAAAATTTATACAGCTGAAAAATGATGCACAAGACATCTATCAAAAGGAAGCAGAGCACTAGATAGGCAATTGACCGCAATAGTTTCTCAGGCAACATATCAAAGAGACAAAGACCAATAATGCCTGGAGGGGTACTGTACGAAGATGGTGCCAGGGTCCCAAAATTATCTTGCAGAAACAGTTCAATAAAAACTTCCAGTTTCAATCATTTCAAGCTTACAACAGTACCAGTTGTCGAAGGAAGAAATCATCGCTGGGGAACCATGTCCAATAAAAATCTTTCCCCTGTGTCATGTTTGGCTCAGGAGGAATCAGGAATACAATGGCCACGGCCAACTTATTTGGAGTAAACCAGAACAGTGCGGTGATGCCTCTCAGTCCCAGATGGCCAGATTACATCACATCACCATCAGTAGCATGACAAGCTAGAAAGTTGCAGCTGCTAGCTCTTCGGTTCCTTTCACAAAAAGAAAAGATCTAACCAGTTTCTTCTTACGAATATTTTTGGCTCTGGTTTTTGCTCTTTGCATAAATCCTCTGAACTTTAAACACTTGCATTGTTAAAAAAAAATGACATAAATGCGTATCATAATCCATTTCCGTGGACCACATGGGTCTGAATATTTTCTTCTTTTCTCCCCTTTTTTTCATACTACTCAGAAGGGTTTACCAACCAGTAACTGAAACCTCCACAGCCCCACAAAGATTCTGCAAATCAGACTGCATACATGATGCATCCGCTGAGCTGCACACAGATTCCAGAGGTACAAGG